ACACACACACACACACTCTCTCTCTCTCTCTTACCGTGGTCAGTCGCTCCAAAGCTGAGAAGCGTTCCTCCCAAGTAGCGGCTGATTTCTCGAAGGCTTCGTGACGTTTGATCAGCTTCTCCACCTCGTCCACACTCTGTCCCATCTCTCTGCCGGACAGGTACGGCTCCTGTCCCAGCAGCCACGCCTCTGCCACGCCGGCGTCACGTGAAAACTGGTGCACTTCCAAAACTGCACAAACACAGGCAACGTGAAAGGGGAAGTCAGTGTCAATGATTTAAAGCTCAAGCTGCCCACATCCTATTACACACTTCCCATTATAAGGTCAGAAATAAGTCTATCAGAGCTGCTAAGCATCATGGGAGGAGACCGGGCCGGTTCTAGACATTTGGAGGCCCCCCACCCCCAATACAAAGCACTTGAAACAAATATGATTCCTAACCTTTTTATTTCAACAACATTTAATTTTAAATTTGGTATATTTTTATTTACACAGTTCTGATCAAAAGTTTGGAAACATTACTATTTTTAATGTTTTTGAAAGAAGTCGCTTATGCTCATCAAAGCTGCATTTATTTGATCAGAACTACAGAAAAAACTGCAATATTGTGAAAAATTATTGCAATCTAAAATAATGGTTTTCTATTTTAATATACTTTAAAATGTAATTTACTAATATTAATATACTAAATGTATTTAATTTAATGTCATTATTTTTTTACTATTATTTATTAAATACATTTTATTTATATACAATATCATTTATTAAATATATTTAATATAATACATGTAATATTTTAATACAAACATATTATCTATTTTAATACATTTGTTTTTTTATATTAGTTTAACTAATTTTAATATATTAATTGCACCTAATGTATTTTTTTTACTAAAATAACACTTAATGCACTAATATAAGTATATTATATTATTAAAATATATTTACATTCATTGTATACTAAATATTACATCTATGTATATTCAAAAATTATTTTATGAAATTATTTTTAGCACTTCATATATTAATATAAACATACTATTTATGTAAATAAATTATATTACTTTCATATTCATTTTAATAAATTTAATAATATTTTTCATTACTCCAGTCTTCAGTGTCACATGATCTTCAGAAATCATTCTAATGTTGATTTATTATCAATGTTAGAAACAGTTGTGCTGCTTCATATTAATTTTATACATTTCATATACTAATATATACATAAATGAATTATTAAGTACTCTTTTTAAGAACACTGCTTACACAAACCTAAACATCACTTAACATCAGAAAAAGAAACTGTATGAGTATGTCCTAAAACACATTACCTGATAGTGTAGAACAGCATCTGTCTGACATGTGCTGTGTTTTCTATGTACATCAGTAGCCCTGTGCTGTGTGTGTGTTCTGTGTTCACCTCTGCTGTGTTTCTGCGTCCTGCTCCTGGACCGGCTCCGGTGTGGGCGGTTTCCTCCTCCTCTCTTCCTCCTCTTGCTGTCTTCTCACTTCCAATAACTCCAACTACCAGAATCAACAGAGAAGTTCAACAAACAGAGTCACAGTGACATCCTACTGACACACACACACACACACACACA